AAACCGTTCCTGTAATGCACATTAACAATATACTTGTCGTTTTCCTTTCCAACTACATGAAGTAGCAACGGTGTATTAAACACAGTATCTTTGAAGAAATCAATTTCCTTTTGAACCCATACCTCATCCACAGGAAATGTGCAAGCAAGTGCACAACACACAGCTAAAGATGGTAAACTGGAAAACTCAGGAAGCAATATTTTCACATCATAACAGGGTACTGTATCTGTATTTCCAAAATCAAAAAAATAAACAGTAATGTTTACATGAAGTACTTCAATGACAACACCACGATAATAATGCATGTCTTTGCTATACCGGGCACAGCACAGCACTCCAGGCTCTGGGTTTTTAAGGACCATTTCATCAGCTCCACATTGGTTATATGTGGCTGCAATATTTTTCATCAAGGTTTGAAATTCATATTGATATTCACAGGTTTGAATCCAAAAGTTAGATGGATTTATGACATATACTACAAAAGCAGTGTGGAAGGAATTAATTTTCATTTCTACCCTTTTGCAGTGGCTTGACAAAGAAATATCCCTTTCGGGTAAGCAGTTTTTTGTACATTTATTTTCAGTACAATTCTTTAATGAACTGTACCTCTCATAACACGGTTTGTAGTTTACAGCAATATTTGTGATTTTTGCTTCTGGAAGTGAGACACATGAAGCAAGTGCCTCGTTCAGGTTTTCTGACTGCTTAGCATGAATTCCAAGGGTTTGTTTTTGCAGCGTAATATAATACAAGCATTTAATGTCATTGAATAAATCAACACGAACATACACAGAAGTTTGTGCTATCAAGGCCTGTGTAAGTTCTTTCAGCTGGGTTTTTATTACTGTTTCATCCTGACTATCAAAACAAGACAGTGCACATGGAAATGAGATCACAGGTAATGCCATGAACTCTACTTTAAGTTTCTGAATGCAACTAGATGGCACAGCTTCAATATTGCCAAAATCCATAAACCAGACTTCCACATAGTCAGAGAGAAACCGTTTTATCACTCCTCTATGCCATTTCCCATTTTGACTTTTGGCAGCACAGAGTAGCCCTAAACTATCAAAAGATTTTGTATTTTCTGTACTAATAGCTTCATAGTATAAATGCATAGCTCCTGTCAAATCTTCCAGCTCTTTCTGCCATTTCTGTATCTGACAGTAAAATCTATTTGGGCTAATTGCAACAGTTATTCTTACGTTTTCTTGACTGCCAACAGGTAGACGTGGAAAGAGATTACCTGGAACTGGCCAAAAATCTGTCGATTTCTCAGAATTACTGAAAGTAAGCAAATCCTTGACTGGAAGCTTCCGTTGTAACAACTGTGGCACTCTATTACAAAGCATTTCTTGGGGAAATGCTCTTAACATTTCTACAATAAGACAAAATGAATCCACATCAATAAATTTTCCTAACTGCAGTTCAAGAACATCACTAATTATCTTTGGCACTTCTAGAATAAACACCTGGTATGGCATAACAGCTTTCACATGACCTGTAATCTGTAATCCCACCAGAGATGAAAAATAGTTAATGGCTTTTGGACCCCATTTTTCTCCAAGAGGAAGTACGCTTGCAAAAACACCCAAAACCACCTTTGGAGGCAGTTTAAACAATTCATCACAAGCAGAAGCAAGATGTGTTTCCTTAACTACTAGAACTTGCCCAGTATCTATAAGAAAAACCTTAGAGTTATTCTCTCTCTTTTCCAGAACTCTTCCCCTATGCCATTTTCCTTCTGTGTCTTCCACCAAACAAGATCCACCAACACTGATCTTATCTTTTACTTTGAATACACGCTGAATTTCATTTTGTAGTATGTAATAGCCAAGTTCATATCCTGCCTTGTATTGGCCTTGGAAGACTATAACCAAGCATTCAGGATGGCATTCTATGCAAGTTATCTTCAGTTTCATATCTACTGTGTTTGGTGAGGGAGTCAGAGATTCCATCCTGTCTGCAAAGAAAAGGAGCAAGATCAGCCTCATAATTTTCCAAATTTTTTGTCATCTAATTCCTTACACAAAATTTGTGTATGCTTTAATAGCATATTATTACACTTCCCGTTAAACTGTATACTAAGTATTTAACAATGTCATGTTTTATGCAACTGGGATACACTTGAGAATTTTCTTTGTAAACACATGTTCAGGTAACATCTGAAAAGAAGTACCTCTGGACTTGTTCTTGTGGCTACAGACCAATTTTATCACTTGAGAATAATTCATAATCAAAAAACTGCTCCCAGAGGAACACAGAGAACTAAGGATTATATCAGAAAACAAGCGAAGGCAGACAGTCATAGACAGGGGCAAAGGACGTGCAAGAATGCGGAACAGGACAGGACAGATGACTAGGAAGATAACTGTATTTCTTCTCCAATAAAAGTACTTCTGCTTGAAGAAACAAAAGAGTGGAAAGCAATTAATGTCATTTACGTAATCTCTGCTCATCTCACAAATATTATCCACATTCAGTAAACTTAACTGCACATCACTCCAAAGAAGATCCAATTAAGTATTTTGTTGCACTGGACTTGTTACAAGTTTTGCAGGAGCTTACCACAAAAGTACTTCCAGTATGCTTTACTCTCTCTTTATAAAATGTGAAAGATCAACCCCTATTTACCCTGCATTTTCTCTGTAAATCACCTCTTCAAATTAATAGTATCTTCTAGCTCTGTGCTTTACTATTTACATAATCTGGCTGCCTATACATTATCAGTTATAGCTGCAGCACATTTTACGCTCTTGTACTTTCAAGGACATACATTATTTATGTCCAACACTTCTGCACCGTGCATCAAGCAACAATTGTGCCAGGTGTGTTTTGCACCATCTCAACATTCAGGTTGAGATGTACCTTTAAACCCTTCAGTTACTTCTCTGAACTTCATCTATAATCTGCTCTTGAAGATCAGCTTTCAGTTCCATTCCAAGTTGTCAGGGGATCTGTGATTTCACATTGTTTAGGCATGCACAGCACTTCTACAACTTAACCAAGCAATTCCATTAAATAAATCATTGCTCTAACAAAGTAATTACAGTTAGACACCTGTCAAATGCCAAGACAGTGAATAAACATGTAAGGATAGGCTGGACAAAGCATATGCCTAATACATGAATTTGTGCATAAAGCTGAAAGTCAGTTTCAACTAAAAGTTCTTATGACAAGATCTCTCTCAGCCTGCAAAAAAAAAACTTCAACAGAAATGCCAAAATAGTTTTTATTGCAAGTATCCGTGAATTATGCTAGTGATTATATAATCTGTCCTCAGAACATTGATCCCTATCGTTCTATTTACACACACATACAAAAAAAAAACAACAAAAAACAAAAAGCAGACTCAAACCACTCCTACTGTAAAGCTTACCAGAACAGAACATCTCAGGCAGGAGGAAGAAAGACACGTCTTCTCCAAGAAAACCCCAAACCACCAGCTACCCCAAAACACCTCCCAGTAAAAGCAGTACCAAACTGAGGTCTGACAAATGCCCGACTAATAAGCGCCCTTATTTTTCACTTTTCCTGTAATAAAATAGAAAACTAAATTTGGACGGGTGGGGGACAGTACACTAATGGAAGCAAATAGCCTTCAAGAAAGGATTCTGTCTGCCTGGAAAAAACACCTGATCATTACAGAGGATCAAACTTCTGAAGGTGCACCACTTATGCTTTGGGCACCTTTGCTTCCCCTCCCCCACTACTGAAACAAAGCCCTGGTTGCAGAAACAGTAACAAAGGAAAAGAATGTGTGCATCAACATTTGCTTGCTCCTGGTCACAGGCCAAAAAACAGCACTGCACTGATACAGCATCCTGGTTTCAGCTGGGATAGTGTTTATTTTCTTCCTCTTTTAAACCATGACATAGTCACATTTCTACAATTCACAAAATCATCTTTTGCTTTTTACTCACCTATATACCAGTTTAGCCTTAATTCATTCAGAACACACCTCCAGAAGCCTCAGCCCTCCTGTTAACAACTCTGCATCTAAGGAAAGATGATAAAAAGAAAGGGGAAAAGAAAAAAAAAAAACAAACAACAAAACCCACCATTAAAACGTGCTTGAACTACTTCTGTAAATCCTCCTTCTGCCCAACAAATACATCCTAGAAGAGTTCCTCACACCCAGTTTATCTAGAATGTTAAGACTTTAAAAATAAAGCGTAACTACAAAACTGAATGCACCTTCTTAAAACTATGGTAAGACCATTCTTTCTTCACAGTAGCTCAAAAACCACGCCAATCAGAAGCACACTACACAGATAGTCTACCAAACACCTGCTAAGCAACAGCAGTCACATAGTTGGTTTTTTTTGTTTGCAATACTTCGGACATCCAAATCTGTACTCGATCATGTATTGCTAGATATAAACAAACTTACTACATAATAAAAGGGCTTTGAAATACAAACAGATACAAGACGCAAGTAACAGTTTAAAGCATGGGCGCTGCTCCACAAAACGGCTGCTCAGACGGGGGCTGTTTGACGCCCAAGGCATCCTTCTCCTGAGAAGAGCCAGGCGCGGAGCTGTGCTCATGTCCACATCGCGGGGACCGGCGGGCGAGAGCCGCCGCCACCAGGCGAGACCTGAAAGCGAAGACCGCCACCCTTCAGCAGCAGCTTCCTTACCACGCGCAAGAGCGAAAGCGACGGCTGAGAGCCACAACCGCCAGAGCACGATTATTCTTCACCACCAAGAAGCCGAGTCGGACGGAACCCAGCCACCCCCAGTACCTCCTCTCTCCCCGAGCTGGCAAGATGGCGGCACGAGGACCGGCTCCCGCACGCGCCGCCAGAGGCTTGTGTAGAAGACGCAGCTCAAGGTTGATTGGTGGGAACGCGACAACAGCGCCCGGCCAATCAGCACGGCCCAAGGGCAGAAGTGTTAGGTGATCAGCCTTCACATAGGAGTTGTCAGTGTAATTAGGCACAGTTCCTTAAGAATGAACTTAAATAGTGCCATATTTCTAGAGGGGAAAGATAAGACCAAATCTTTTATGTTCTTGCACGATTAAAACCTCAGACTGAAATCTAGAACCCAAGGTAGGTGTCTTGGCATCCTTTGCAGTGTAAAGGAGGAGTGCTGCCCCAGAATGGCAGCTCAGAAGACTAAGGTACTAGATAAGAAGCAGTCTTGAGCTCATGACTACTAAATATTACAAAGCTGTATGGGGTATGGCTGTGTTTTCCCTGTGATGTAGGCTTTACTCCTGAAGGCAGAGTGCTACCACTGGCTTTCTTTAAAGGCAGCAAGACATACATTTTGTCCTATTCAAATTACAGTGGTGATGGCAGCTGTAATATAATAATCCTATGGTTAAAGAAGTCACATTCTTGCAGCATGAGTGAATTTAAGAAAATGTGTACTACTTCCCTGCAGCATGCCTTAACCATGGATGGTTATGCATGGTGGAATGCAGTGTGTCCCTTTTGTTTGAAGTTGTGCTGCTGTGGGATGGATGGGGGGGGAGGAGGGGGTAGGGAAGCAGGGAAGGAAGAGAAAACAGAAGGCATAACCAGGCAGCCTGTCAGGGCTGATTGATTTTTTTGGAAGGAAAGAAGAGCTTTTTTGCTGTTACGCCTTTGTTACAGAATTTCTTTGCAGTTTATATCATTTCAGACAGTACAGGAATATGTCTCTTCTGACACAGTGGGGGTGGGGGGGGCTGGTTCATCTTTTGTTTACTCAAGAGTAGTACAATTTTTAATTATCTCCTGCCCTGATTTCATATCTACACTGGAAAGTGTTAAGTATACATAAAGTACTGCCAGATCTCAGAAGTAAGCTCCTCCAATAACATCTGAGACATGAAGAGTCACTATAGGCCATTGTAAGTGTACATAGCAGACAAAAGCAGAAATAGCAGTGTTGTATTAACCCACAACATCTCTATAGTGTACTTCAGAAGGCTTGCAAAACTTATTCAGTGTTTACATTTGAATTGTGAATATTTTAAAATATTGGTGAAGCTGCACATTCCACATTGATTAGTACTAAATCTCAACTGTTTTTCCCAGCTTTGTTTACTGTGTAAGTAGTACAACCAAATCTGGGTTTTCATCTTTTCCATTTTATTGTCTTTACAAACTTTGTGTTGCTGTTACTCCCACAAAAAGCCATGTGTTCCTTCCTTGTCGTTGTTGTGAGGAAGGCATTAAATATTTTTTTCTGTTTTGTCCAGTATGGAAGGTCAACAAACTCCAGTTTATATTCCATAAAAATAAAATACAATTGAAAAAGAATTTTGATATGCAAGGCCTTACTCTCGTAATGAATCTCGACTAAGACAAAACTTCTAAAGTGAGCCTCGAGTTGTTTTTGTCTACAACAGACTACTGAGGAAGGTGGTATTTCTTCATGTTTTCCAAAATAGGACTCTATCTGAGAAATCATTTCTCATCACTGAGGATTGATTTCTCACCAGGAAAATGTTGCTAGGACTCCAGTATATTCCTTAAAAACAGTTAATAAAAACCTGAACATTTCACAAAAAAACTCTTCTGTGCTCATGGGTGAAGTGTCTGTTCATAACCATTTTTATTCGGTAAGGGATTATGGTCTGTTTCTGAGTTTGACTACTTTCAGTACACTTCCACATGAAATATCTTGTGGAAGAATGGATACTAGTTTTCCTTATAGACTCAAGAGTAGTAAGTGTAAAGAGAGTAAAAGTATTACGCCACCACTTAAGGGAGTATCATAAATGAAGCTCTACTGCCAGCTGTCTGCCAGGAAGTGGAATGTAGCTCTGTGTAAGTGAGCTCCTGTGCTGAAATTGGATAGCAAACAACTTATCCCACAGTTCTAGCTAACTATCAACACTTCTGAAAATTGATTTTCAGGAGAGGGAACATAAGACAAAGCTATCACTTGTAAAAACTGAAGGGGATACTGAATGGATGGCTTTTAATAGCACTGACATTCATCTCCCAGTCTAAACAGCAACAGTAGTCTGCAGCCTTCTTAAAATATTATTGGCAGGTGATAAATAGTACTTGTTTTGATGAATTGTTTTGAAAAAAAGGGAGAAACATGCAATCTGTAGGATACCATTTAAAGAGAGGAGAGGAGTTATCAGCATCTTCTCTTCTGTTTGAGTTATAAAATAGAAGTGAGTCTCACTGAATTCCTTGGGGAGAGTGAGGAGAGGATTAGGTAACCACCACCCTCCGAGGCAGGCAAGAAATACAGATTACAAGAGGATCGGATTCTCTCCCCAGTGGAGGGTTTAAGGCTTAATCTTCTCCTTAGTGCTTCTTTTTTGGGTGGCTAAATGTCTGAATGCTCATGATGCTAGTTCTATGCAGTGTATGCTTACTGGAATGAATCCCATTCTGAAGCACTTGACTTTGATGAAGAATGATGTAGAAATCATAACTGCTTTGATTTCATGGGGAGAGAAGGAGAATTAAACAAAGCATCTCCAACCTTCAATCCCCACGACTGTTCTATTATCCATCCTTTGTGTTGTTGAGATTGTTTCTGAATATTAATATCATAAAAATGTTACTTAAATAGATAATCATTGCACTTTTTACTTTTTAGGGAGGACAATCTGTCATACCAAAGTACTTTGAAATTGTCTCCTATGGGATTTGATTAGGTCATGACATGCTAAACTGGATGGGCAGATTAATTTAGACTCCCTGGATTAGTTCCATCCCTCTCCAGTTTGAGTCTTGTGGAAACCTGAAAGTACATAAGTGGTTTTTGGTTGCCAGAAACATTTTTTTATTGCATGTAATCAAATTGCTTTTCTGAAAGAGACTGCAACATTTGCTTGTAATATCATTTGTGTTTGTCTTTTAAATAAATAGCTTTGAAAAATACATGTAAGACAGAGGTAGAAATGAGTGACAATGGCAGAAATACAGGACATTTCAAAGATCTAAAAATGAACAGTGAAAGCACCTCCACCTAAGATAAATCTCACAATAAAAGAGATTTTTTTCCCAGCTTAGTTAAGCCCATATTTATTGTTTACATCTGTGTCTCTTCAGAACTTTTCACACTACAAAATCTCTATAACTCTTCCTTTTTTTTCTTTTTTTTTCCCTCTGAATTCAGTCCAGAGGGTTTGCTGTTTTTTTGATGTAGTCAAACACTTTAAAAACAACGGGACTCAAAATAGTTATCTCAAAACTTTTTCCTATTTTGCAGTTTTTCCTATTTTGCCTTTCAAAGTCTCTTAATGTGTCCTTAGTTTGTGTTTCTGTTAACTTGAAAGATAGCCACTAGGTGTCAGGAACAACCACAAGATTAGCTGGATGCTTGGAAAATACACTTGTGTTATTTTAATAGAAGGAAAAAGTGTAGAAGCAACTAATTCAGTCTGACCTTCAATGAAATATGGAGCGGTATGTACTGAAGAGTTTCGCTAGCAGGTCATCACATTTATCACACAATCTGAAACCACTTCAATTATTTTCAGGTAACCTGCACTAACTCTTGAAATATTTTCAATTTGCAGTGTCTGCTTACTCAATACGCAGACAAAATTTCATTTCAAATGTTTTGCTAGATCACATGTCTATCTTACCACCACTGTCATTTTTTAAATTATGTTAATACCATCACTTATATGAAATTAGTCACTAAATCAACAATTCACATGTACAAAAGCAGAGGGTTGAAACAGCTTTTACAAAATACTTTCAGCAGTAGGCAATAGATCTGTTGCTTCTTAAAATTCACGTTGCATGTTTCAGTGGCAGTAAGTGTCAGAGCAGAGAAAGAGATGCCCATTATGTTGGAAGACATGCTCATTTTACAGGTGAAAGAATGAATTGAGACTTGTTGAACAGGGACACAAAGCAGAAGGTAGAATTTCTTTTAATAGAGGCCTCCCAAAATAGATTCTTTTTTGCCATATACTACACCAAACCAGTACATCTGTGCACATACAGGTCCAGACCTGGTATTAGTGGGTTGGGTTCCTCTGCTGTGCAGTTTGTATGATGCTGTGTAGTATGGTCATGCCGACTATGTTATCTTAAATGTCAGGCACATAATGCAGAAACATGCATAAGAAGACCCTGCGCTGCACTCTTACCCTGGGTACCTGCATCTGATGTGTGGGATGAGAGAATGTTAGGGTCCGTCTGCATTAGCAATTGCTGTGGCACAATCAGAGTAGATCTGTAAAGTTAAATTATTGGTGCTGGTGACCCAATATCCAACAGGGTTTAAGGGACAGAGGATTATTTAAGACTAGCTCTAGTGTAGCAGACTGGATGTCTACTAGCAGCTGAAAAGTGTTTTTGAGTTTCATTCCAAAGAATTTGTTTGTTCACTGTGGAATAGGTCAGCAGTGCTGATCAAAGCAGGGTAAGTGGGAAAGGTAAGGAGATTCACCTCCTGTTCTTCACTAAATGTAAACTAATGTAAAAGCACACAGAGATAAGCTAGACTTGGGCACCCTGGGTAAATTCCCAGTTCTTCAGCTTGGCAGTGGAAGAGCAGGGCTAGTGGAGAGGTTGAATGACCATACAGGAAAAGGAGAATAAAATTTTAATAATTTCAGTTCTTTGGATTCAGAGTGTACCATTTTGCACAGCAAATATTTTTAAAGATGTATAGATCAAAAAGGTTTTTTGTTTTGTTTCATTGTTGGTGTTTTTTTTTTTCTGAATTCTGAGATCAGTTTATTCTGAGGGGGAAAAGGAAGTTGCATATGCAGTAGCAATTCTGTCATTAGAAATAGTGAATAATATTTCTGATGAGTGGTGGAACAAACTATTGCATGTATTGATGGTGAGTGAGCTCATTGAACTGTGAGTCATGAAGTCACAGGAACTAAAAGGTGGAAAAAGACCTGCTAAATCATCTAGTTGTCCCTGAAGAGACAAACTGAATGTTCTAATAGGTTCTTCACATGAGTCATTTCTATCATCCAAATCGATTAACTAAATTCTGGCCCCAGCCATACAAAGAGTATGTGAAGAAAGACCCACAGCCTCTTGTGGAATTTAATGAATACCATGAGTGTCTACAGAGGATTGCATTTTGGATTATACATATCTGACAGCACTTTTGTGGTCTT